CTTACATTCAGGTTTCAAACATGACCGTAGAGTTTGTTAGGTAAAAGGGATATTATAAATGAAATTGTGAACCCAAACAGCCCAAACAACAGGCTCAATATTTCCCTATTGCTGTAATAATGCTCTAGTTAATTGCATATTATTTTATCAGGATGAGATTGTGCTAGACATTCTTTAAAATTGTAACAATAGGGTTTGTTTGTTTGTTTTCTTCGTTGAGCATTGCCTATTTTATTGTATTTCATACATATTGTGCAATAACCCAGGTTGTCATTCTTACAAATTCAATTTTCTGTAGTATACAATATCTTCTAATCCTCAAAGCAATTCTCTGCAATTGAAATATTGATATCACAATTATATTTTGCCCTCTTCTTTCTATAACCTATTTTCCTTTTTGAAAAAAAAAAAACTTTTATGGTGATTTTCATTGTTTGTGTGAACAAGCAGAAGAGCAGAATTATGATATGTACGTGGGTGATTTTTAATAAGTAATGGTTGCTTTGCGGTTGTGAAGCAGTACAATAGTAGAACTTTGTAGTCAGTGAGTTCTGTTTTTTTTTGTTAACTGTTGAATAATACAAACTGACTACGTTTTAGTTTAAAGGGCCTTTCCAGCCTAAAACGGAATTATTCTTTTAAATGTATTATTTAAAGCATATATTTAAAACATACAAAACATCAATTTCAAACTGTAAAAAAAAAAAAAGAGTTAAAAAAGATATTCACATTTGAGTTCATGAAGGGTTATTTGCTAAAGTGAGAATTGTCTGGGATTCCAAATTAATTTCAAATTTAAGGTCAAAGTAGATGAACTGGAAAGAGTTTCTACTAAGATCTTAAATTTGAAATTCACTCAAATTGACTTTGAATTTCTGACAATTCTCACTTTTGTAAATAACCATGACAGTCTTCAGATCCTCATCAATGAGCTCTTCACCAATAACAAGCATGGCCTCTCATTCTACTTCATGGTCTATGGAGTCAGCCTTGCAGTACATGTTTAACCCAGCATTGCATGGATTTAAGTGTATCATTAGCTGTTTAACTCACTTTGCAGATATTCAAACTGCGACAGTGATAGATTTAATTGAATGTCTGTATTTATGACACTTATAAATATATCAATTGCCAATCTGCCTGTGTGTCTGCACATTGGGTAGGGGGAGAAGATGATTAGCATATATCAAAGCTCCCTGTGCACAGCCTCATTTCTGCTCAGAGCAGGGTTGTCTGCAATTTGTAGTTCAGTAATCTGTTTTCTACTAATGAAAGCAGAACTACAACTCCCAGAAAACGTTTTCTGATTATATAAACAACTGGAGTTACTAGAGGAATCCTGTTTACAAGAGACTACACTTTATGTAACAGGAATTATCCACTAAACCAAGAATTGCAAACTTTACAAATAGCAAAGCTGGAAAGAAATCTGAGTTGGAGAGTTTTTCTACAGCTATTTCTGCATAAATGTGCAATTCTCTTAAAGTTGTAGCTCAACTGAAGAAATAATGCCCTCCAGATAATTATTTTAGTAATAATAAATAATTAAACTATTCTAAATTGTATGAAATAAAAGTTAAAATACACATGTTAAATAGATAACTGTGTCAGAAAAAAAGTGTTTCTTAATTACAGTTCTGCAGTTTTCCCTCCTTCTCTTCTTCTGCAATACAAAAATAATGAAAGTAAAAACTATTTACATCAAGGTATATATGAGGAGAGCCTCGATTAAGCTGTTTAAAGGGGTTCTATAGTGTTACAAATCTGTAATCTTAACACTAGAGTGCCCTCTTGTCCCCCCCCACCCCCTCGCTGCCCCCCTTGCAGCACATTAAGGGTTAAAAAAGCCCACTATTTGCTCACCCAATTCCAGCACCGATGTCCCTCAGTGCTTGGTCGGACTCAGCCTCCACCAATGTCATCCAACGGGGTGACATAATGATGATGGGCGGCAAGCGCCATGAGTGCATTATGCCCTCCCCATAGGAAAACACTGCTTTAATGGGATATTCACTGAATGTCCTCTTGCAGAGCATGGGGATGTCCAGCATCATTTATGGGACCTGGGATCCTGTAAACTCCAGGAAGTGCCTCTCATGGCTGTCAAGTAGACAGCCACTAAAGATAGTCTTAGTAATGGAATGTAAACATTGCAGCTTCTCTAAGTGGAAGGGGGACTGGGACAGTGCACCCAGACCACTTCAATGAGATGAAGTGTTCTGGGTGCCTATAGTGTCCCTTTAAGTAGTAGGTTTTGCAGTGTGCATGTTTATTTCTCATTTCAGTATTAGCATAGGACCCACTGATATTGGAGTACTTTGAAGCAGTGGAGGACTTAAACATGATATATCCATATTATGCGGCTAAATCCTCATATTTATTTTCTAAGATAGGTGATGTTAAAGGGACACTGTAGGCACTCAGACCACTTCAGCTAATTGAAGTAGTCTGGGTGCTGTGACCCTTTTGCACTTAGTGCCGCAATGTTAAACACTGCAGTTCCAGAGAACTGCAATGTTTACATTACAGCACTAAGTCTCCCCAAGTAGCTGGCTGCCAGACAGTCACTGGGGGTGCCTCTGGAATCCTAACGGACCTCCAGCGTCAGATTTTCCCCATAGGAAAGCATTGAATAACGTCGGCTGACGTCGGCGGGGGAGGATCGTGGGCGGGGCTTGACCCAGAGCAGAGGGTTTACTTTTTACTACAATGTTTATCTCTTTTGTTATTAGAATATATGACAGCCAGGTTTCTAATTCGAGATTAGGTTTATAATTTTATATATCTAGAGGTATTCAGCCTGTTATAAGCTGTTTACTTGTAAACCTCTGTTAAGGTTTTATTCCAGGCTGTAAAAACGCTGAAACAACATGCTTTTTAGCTGTCCAGCAGCGGATAAATACCTCTACACAAAGTTGGCAGGCATACAGGGAACCCTCCACGGCTCTCAGATAAGTCTCCTCTTGGACAACAGTCATCCAGCCCTCCGGTATACAACAGCCAGATTTGTCTTATGTGGTTTTTGGAGTGAGTCTCCGGTCGGTCACACAGACAGGCAGGCGGGAAACCCCCCAGGGATAATATCCTCACAGATCACAGTCAGACCACCCTTCCGGTATACAGTAGCCAGATTTATCTTTTGTGTGTTTTGCCACGAGTCTCCGGTCAGTCACACCAAGCTCCTCGTTCTCTGCCCGCAGTTTTCGGAGGCCTCGATCTTTGGCACTCCGACACACCCCAAACATATGTGCCACGTCACTTATGTCATACTCCCGCCCTGATAATGTGTTTTTATGAACCTTTTCTAATACTTACTGTGAAGAAAAGAGCCTTTTAATTCAAGACTTTTATGGCCATTTCTGACTTTTTATGTTTTATTTGTTCGGTAGCTGAAACTACCGAACACCGACCACCCCCCTGGCTCATTATCTACAAAAGGAACTGTCAATTGAGCACTCTCTCTGGGTTGCCGCCGTTCGGCAACCCAGAAAATGGCGGCCATCTTGTTTGCATGAAAGGAGGCAGCGGGACTTGTTCATCGAGTGTCTGGAACTAAAATCGGACACTCGACTTTCCGAACACTGGTCAACACATATGAAAAATGCCTGCTTCCTTTTCCCGAACAGCCAGGAGACCGATGTTTGGTAGTTTTGTTCCCACGAACAAGGGGAACAATCGCTCCTATGAGCCAGGGGGCTCCGTTCGTGCATTTATTCGTTTTTTGACATTTAGACTGACATCACAGCCTAAACTCATGGAACTGTTTTGGGCAGGAGCCTCGTGTACGGTCGGCAAAATGGGACTTCATAGAATTCGAAAACCCTTGAACTGATCTGATTTTTGGATATGTTGGTCACCCAGATCAGGGCTATCAGGGGATATAACATTTATGTGGATACTATGTGTTTTAGGGTACTTTCTATGTTTTGGGGAAAATATGTTTTTTTCTGCTTGGAGATAATTGGTTTATCCTTTAGCTGACTCAATTATCTCACAGGCAGAGAGGAGGGGTTTGATTGTTTGCTGTTCATCTTTGTCACTGAACTGTTATTGATTGTAACCTTTGTGTCCCTCTCCCCCACAAGGTCCATGTGGGAGGTCCCCTTGCATGGGGACTTGCATAAAAGCCAGTGTGGCATCAATAAATATTCATTCCTGTTGTACCCTTCATGAAGTCTAGGCTGATGTTTTGGTAGCTATCTACTTGCTGGGGAGAAACTACTTGGATGATGCATTCATCTGGAACTATTCGTATCTATACCCGAACTGCAACTATAATCACTGAGCAGTTTGGGAGGAATAGGCGAACAACACTTACTCTTGTGGGGTAAATGATGAACATGATTAATTAATATCTAACAATGTGTATAACCCCAGATTCTAGCAGACTCTGAGAGACTAAAAGCTAACTTTGTTTTATTGATTTGGATATCCAATTTAGAAGTATGTAAATAATATTATTCTCTTTTCGTTTTGTTTTATTTGAAGAAAGTGATGTCAGGGAGGAAAATACATGAAAGAAATTGGTAATTGACTGGATAGTTGTGGTCCTTATCTAGAAATGTCCAGCAGTGGATGTCCACACTGGAACCAGAAATAAACTGTTGTCTGGGATCATATTATAAAAAAAAGAGTCATATCTTAAAAAAAAAAAAAGCTTTTCAGTGTTAACGCTCAACATATGTGTGAAAAAGATACAACCTTTCTCGAATCTGAGTCAAGAAGGATATTTTTCTTACTCGATGAGCACTGTTTACAGTGGCGTACATACCAGGGTCGCCCCTGCGACCCGGTATGTACCCACTGGGCCAGCCTCTTCCCCTGGTGGGCCCAGGAGCCAGCCACCTCAGGGCCCCCCGAGGCTGGCCCTGCTGACACCCGGCAAGATGACATCATCTTCCGGCACTGGCTTCCCAGACAGCCCGTCCACACAGTGACCGGCCGCCCAGGAGCCCAGCAGCACCACTGGACCCCAGGGAATCCCCTCGGCTCTCCAACCGCATTTAAACCGCCCATAGGAAAGCATTACTCAATGCTTTCCTATGGACATTCAGTGTCTTCTCACTGTGATTTTCACAGTGAGAATCACGGAAGCTCCTCTAGCGGCTGTCAATGAGACAGCCACCAGAGGCTGGATTAACCCTCAGTGAAACATAGCCGTTTCTCTGAAACTGCTAGGTTTTCAGCTGCAGGGTTAAAACTAGAGGGACCTGGCACCCAGACCACTTCATTGAGCTGATGTGATCTGGGTGTCTGTAGTGGTCCTTTAGGTGTGTGTGCATACCGCAGTCGCGGGGTCCCAGCCCTGCGACCAGGTGCCCGTAGCCATGTGTTGCGGCCCTGACCCGCGCCAAGTAAGCGCGGGGGGGGGGGGGCCCACGGATCAATTTTCGCACCGGGGCCCCATGGGTCATGTGTACGCCACTGACTGTTTAGTTGATTATTTGTATTTTAGCATACATTGCATGACCCATGACTAATCAATATTTCTTTGTTTCTTAAGTTGCTATGCCAATTTATCAATACTTGTATAAATGTATACATATTTTAGATGTATTTCTTGACAGTACATACATATATACTATACAACATAAGGGATAAAGGAATCACAATGGAAATAATAGTTGAAACTATTATGAAAGCTATTACTGTAGGGCTCTGTTGTTTGTTCCTCAACTGTGTTTGAATCTTTTCAAGGATTCATCAGAGACACAGTCAAAGTTATACAAAAAGTTAAAGAACAAGTCACATTTTAATAGCTGGAGAGTATAAAAAGCATGTGAGGTGAATATAATGATTACTATTGAAATGAGTGAGTAGTAACCTCTACACAAAAGGATACAATAATCTGATATACACACTATAGACATTGGTCTACGTCTGTTCTCTATTCTGAAGGGCTTGATGTGGGAAACATAAGGTGTGCTGCAGGCCCAGTAACTGGTTAATGACATCTATCCTGTCTATTCTTCCATGCTTCTTGTTTATTAAGAACAGCTAATGGAGAAGCATCTGGTCGGGAACAATGGACGGATGGATGCATTCATTTTGTGTGAGGGCTCTCAAGAGTGCTCTGCGCATGGTCTGCTGTGTGAGGAGCTGGCTTAAAGGCTGTCATCATGTTGTGTGTTGATGACAGCCTGAACACTACTTCTATGGCTTGGGATGGGTCCACCACCTTTCCAGAAGTGCCTGCCAGTTTTGGTTGTCACCAATGGCACAAGTTGCATCACTGTCATTTTCCCGAGGACCTGCTCTCTCCATTCTAATCCTGTACCAAAGTTGCCATGATGTCTTAAAATGATGTACTGGCTCCCAGAAAAGTGTCTTTTGGAATAGACAAAATCAACATTATAACATAGCATATAAGGGAGAAATAAAAAAAAATGCAATTGTAAATAACTCATGACTCTTTGAAAACGTTTAATAGGGACATTTTATCATCAATAACAGGTGGATATTAGTTGAGGTCCTTCTCTTCACCACTAAGCTTTTCAGAAAGCAGCTAACTGTCGAGCTGTTGTCTATTGACATTATCTACCCAATAGTAGATTTAGCTCACTTGTAGCACTTATCTGGATTCAGTTGTAGTTTCTGGTCCTTGTACCTCTTTTCTCTCCTCTCCCCATTTATTCCTGCTTTGCTTGTTTTGTTCTCCATTATCTTTTTCCTCTTTTTCTTATTTCTACTCCCTTTTTTGCTTTAGGGCGCCATTTCTCCACATGGGGTAAAAACTCTACATACAGCTTCAATCGGTAGGCATATCCCTGTACTTCACCTTGTATTTTAGCTTCTTTAGCTTCAGGTTCTGGGAGTAATCCTGAAAGTGTATGCAGACTCAGCTTTCGTACCAGACTCAGCTTTCGTAATAATCCGCTTAGCCGGGACGAACAGGGAAAATAAATTCTAGGCGTTCATCCCCTGGTCTCCTGCTTCATATCGCCCATGCCTGCTCCAGCTCCACCCGACCACGTGCGTGGTATCATAATGTCATGTCATCGCTCTATCTGCCCTGTGAAAATAATTGCAGCCTTAGCCATTAACCCTGTTACCGGAGAGAGGGAGAAAGAGAGGGAGAGGGAAAGAGAGAAAAAGAGAGAGAAAGGGAAATCAAGAAGAATTGAAAAGGAGAGTGAAAGATGTGCACGTTTTTCAATATTTAAAGCGTTTATCCGTTCTTTCTTCAAGGCAGACAGAGGCAGTCAGTGCAATATGTACTACAACTAACTTGGTAAGTGCAAAATGTACCAAATAACATTAGGGAAAGCAAATAATTACATGTCACGTATTGCCTAACAGACTTTATGATATAAAAAGGTCAGTGAAAGAGAAAAAAGTGTTCATTAAATTTACATGCAAAGTTTAAAAATACATTTATTTTAATCTCACATATGTCTGTGGTTGTAAATGAATAGTACCTGTAGCACTGAGAAATCTGAGAGCAATCTTTCCCTTTGTTGATTTTGTACTGAAGTAAACTATTCATACCTTGAGAGTTCTTTATAACGAGCATTAATACAATCAGTCTCTAAGCTTTCACTTTTACTGAATGGCAAAAATCAAAGTGCTGTCTGTGTTTTATTCCTCCAATGGTTGTGCTGTGTGCTATGGATGAAAGGTTCATCTGTTAGAAAAGGTTAAACCACAAAATGGTTGTTGATAGCCACCGCTATTGGTAGTCAATACCATCCACGCATACACCAAAAAATGTTTAATCATGGTTATGCAGTGGGTCCCTTGTGAAAAAAGAAAGGGAATCATTAATGTTCTTCTAAATATTGAGTAAAGTCCAGGGAATGGTTCACTTGATAAATACGTTTTTGAAACAAGCAGGACGATTGAGAAGTGCTCAGTGATACATTGCGATTAGCAGACTTGAAAGCTACCCAGGATTATTTTTTGTTTCCCATTATTTACTGAGGCCATTTTTAAAATTCTAACAAAATACCAACATTTTAAATGTACAAAGAAGGACATTTTCATTTTAGGGGTGAAAAGCCTGTGATTGGAAAATTAGCCAGCTCAGAGGGCATGTGCACGCTTTGGGCCAGCGAGGGAAAGAGAGGGAGGATTTCTCCTATTTATTAAACAATGGGAGGCAGGAGGGAGTGCCCACTGGGAGGAAGGGTGGAAGGAGAGATATAAATTTTCATGTCTGTCAGTAGCGTGCTGTGCGCTCTGACAACAAGCATATTTTATGCACAGAACTGACATTAGGCAGCCCGGAACAGAGTTGGGGGTACAGCAAGGCACCAGCATATATTTGAAAATAAGTCAGTAAGTGCAGTGTTTCACGCTGAAACACTGCATATGCATACTCCTACCACCATTACCATGTCAGGTCATTGAAGCAGTTGTGGTGGTTGGAATAACCCTTTAAAGACACATTACTTGAAGTATCATTGCAGAGGAGCTCTGTTTTACACTCAGGCACACCAAAAATGTGGAGCTCCTAGAAATGAGGGAAATTAGCATGTAAAAGAGAGATAGCGGGATTTGGACCTAAAATAGGGACATTTGGGACGAAAGTAACAATAACATTGATATAATGGTAGTTGGAATTTTAGGTTTTTTTCTACTTGCACCTATCCCACCAGTGTAACATGAGGATTTAATTAAAATAGTTATTCAGTTACATTTGGGCTTTTCAGTGGCATTTCTGGTTTCTGGGGATTGAGGCAGAAGGAAACTTGATGACCTCTACACTAATAGAGAGGTGGGTATTTGTGATGACATACCCCTGCCTCTCTATATCATATCCACTCTTCTCTACTCATAAACATCATGCTGGTGATGCTGTCTGGGATCTCAATTAAAGCAACCCCAAGCAAACTCAATTAAAGCACATGCTTCGGAAACAGGTATTCAATGTGATCCCAGTCTGCTACTCTAAAAGTGGGGTGTACAGCAAAGGTGTTAACCAGCACCCACTCTTGACAGTAACTTGGGGGCACCACCCATTACCCATAAGTAGGCTGGTGAAACACTGTAATGTTTCCTTTTATGATAGAGTTCTACTTTGAAATATAGCAGTGTGATGTAAAAGAAATTCCCCTTATGGTATCAAAAACCCCCCTGATCTGAGGGCAGAGAATTTGGAGAAGCCAGGGTAAGACTTATTGGTTTTTTTTACTCTATATTCTTGGTTGTTGTTGATTCTATCTAAACAGGGAGATTGCCTGTTTAATACATAATTTTAATTCCTACCTGTGCTACTCTTCTCCTCCTGGTCTGCCTTATCAGCGAATTCTGCAGGAGTTTCATCCGATGGCAGGGCTCTTCTGTGCTCGGATATCCAGAGCAAGCGCAGTAGTGGCGGCGTCCAGCGGGCAATCTGCGCATGCGCAAATTAGTTTCACGCTTAAAGGTATATCGCGCCAAACTAAAAAAATTGAAAAATCAATCGGTTTTGCTGCTAACAACTTACCTTATCCTGCCTGTTCATTTATCAAGAAGATCTGCCTTTTGCATCCAGATTCTGTCTTGAAGATAATTCTTTAAATAACTTTTGTTTTTTCTTTTATTATTCTCTTTAAAATTTTCAGAGTTATGTTTAGTTATGTTTAGTAATTATTCTTTCTAGATGGCTTCTCCCTCTGCCTCAAGATCTTGCTCTAGAAGACATAAGTGAGCCTCCTTTTTCTTTTTTCCTAATTATTTATTATAGTTGGGGAAAAGAGTGCCATGATAGGCCTATAATATATTATATTGGCCTCTGTTTCAGCCCAGAAAGCCCTCAAGAGAATTCTCCTAGAAAATATAGAGAAAAATCTAATAGATGTACAAACTGTAACCAAGTGGCTCCTCCTGGGAAAAATTTGTGCAGAGCTTGCCTGGCGGAAGCAGCAGATGAATGGGGAAAGAAAAGTTCCCCACAGGTTGATTTAAAAAAAATGGATATCAGAAGCAATTGCAGAAGGCTTCAGATCTACATCAGATAGAATGACTACTTCTAAACGTCCTAGAGTGGAAAGTTATGTAGAATCTGAGGAAGATTCTGACTTGATGGAAGAATTTTCAGAGGAAGAAGAATATGATAATGCCTCAAAATCCCTGGACTCCAGGGCTGTGGATAAATTGGTTTATCTTATCAGAAAAACCTTAAGAGTCCACAGAGAGCACCTGATGGAGGGCCTTAAAGATTTAAAGCTAGCCACAGAATGCTGCTCTGAAGCTTCTCTGGATGTTACCAAGATGGTAGCAAAAAGTATGGTGCTGTCTGTAGCCTCTAGGAGAGCATTATGGCTTCACTCTTGGGGAGCAGATTACACCTCTAAAGCATCTCTATATGCTCTCCCTTTTCAAGGTGACCT